CAGTAGAGATACAAAAATGATAAGCAACAGCTAAAAAGTAAACGTAAGTAAACAGCCAGAAATAGAACCAGAGCTTTCGGACAACACTAGTCCTTCCTCAGTGGCGAGTGAGTGATATATATATATATATATATATATATATATATATATGGGATATTACGTCAGAAATTTGTCGCAGTGTATTCAAAATCAAATCATAGAGATTTGACCACTTAATCACAAAATTATATTACTGTTCATTCTTAACACCCTTCATTCAAATCTTCAGGCCACCAGCCCTATTATTTACATATTTATTTGTATGTTATATACAGACATACATTATTTTGTATATTATATAATATCAGGGCTTGCCCTAACTTTTTTTGGTAACTAGCCCACTGGGCTAGTTTACTAGAGATTTTACTAGCCCACAGAATATTTTACTAGCCCACAGACAGGAAAAAATTTGGTTTCAAAATATTTATTAGCGACAATTAAATTTGAAGGTTGATTTGCAATTTCATAAATATATATATATATATATATATATATACCGTATATATATATATATATATATAGGCCTATATATATTTAAATGTATATACTGTACATATATATAATGGGCATATAAACATGTATGTATATGTATATGTATGCGAAACTGGTCTAAGAATGAACAACCTCAAATCATCTATAAGACACAAACTCAACTGCCCAGTAAGTGTACATTTTAATTCACCTAATCACACCATCAATGACTTTAGGGCTATAATAATAGGTTGCAATTTTAAATCAACACAAGAATGACGTAACGCAGAAATGAAATGAATAATCCGGTTAAAAACTCACATTAAGTGTCTAAATAAGGACTTAGGCTCTACATGTGATTATACCTTCATACGCAATATTTCTCTATGAATACAGTTTATCTAACTATATATGCTATATATTACTTCTACTTATGTACATTTTTTTATATTCATTGATTTCTAAACTGTATCTTATTTGTCATCATGATATCATGCGTTATATTCTTTAAACTCATACATATACCTATATTTCTGCTGTTTATTTTCTATTCCACAATTGTTTTAATTATAGGACCTCATCATTGCAACTAGGTTATAGACTCAAACGAAACGTTCGACCAGCTAGGTAGGGCCCAAACTAGTCCCACGACCACTAATGATTACAGAGCCAAACCAAGGCAATATATATATATACACAGCCCAGGTGTGAATGCAAATAGTGGAATACAAGCTATGTGGCTCGGTTCCAGTAGATACAGAGAATATTTTGTCATTCTTAACGCATCCTACAAAATTCTTACGAGAGGGATCCATCTGCAGATATTGGGATTCCTTCCAGTGGATGCTTAGTTTATTTTGTCATTCTGATCGGATTTTCTCTACTGTTCCATTTTAATTTTAAATAGTTTTGCCTAGCTGCACTGATGAGGCCTGGAAGGCCGAAACGGATCCGTCTGCAGACACTGTATTGGGATTCCTTCCAGTGGATGCTTAGTTTATTTTGTCATTCTGATCGGATTTTCTCTACTGTTCCATTTGGCGAATTTTTATTACATATTTGATAGGCATCGAGTTACTATAATATGACTTCATGTAGGCTATGCTTTCTAATGTTGAAATCGGCTTCCAAAACCAAAACATTTTAAATAAAGCTTACTACTTATTTCATAGGCATCGAGTTACTATAATATGACTTCATGTAGGCTATGCTTTCTAATGTTGAAATCAGCTTCCAAAACCAAAATATTTTAAATAAAACAAGAAACAAAGAGTATGTAATGTAACCATCTAATTTATTTTCATAATGAAAAATCTATACACTATTATTACTGTCTCTTATACACATCTAGATGTGTATAAGAGACAGACATTATCTTTATTAATGCAGTTTTAATTATTGTTTGGATGTAAATGAAAAAGAACAAGGGCAACGATTCAAAACACTTTAATGGCTTTGCATTTAAATCTATTTTGGTAGTTATTTAGTAAATTCACAGTAAGAGTTGACTACTTGGGGCCGAGTTGACTCGGAGCCGAGTTGACTTGGTTTCAAGTTGATTCAAATTTGTAGATTTCATTGTAAGTTGTAATCGACCCACTGACCATTCTCAGAAACAAGAAAGGTCTACATTTTATAAATGCCTGAGATGTTTTTGCTCTGCCTTCATTTGAAATGATTATTTTCCATTTTTAAATTATATAGGGAAAAAATAGGAACGATGAAGAGAAAATTAGGTGAGTTTGCAATTTAATTAAGTTTTTGTATGCTTGTATTATGCAGTGCAGTGGTGGCATGATGGATACCTTCATACCAGTAGTAGTTAATTTTGTATAGACTGTTATATCAACTTTAATTCATTCATATCATTATTTGACTAAAAAAAAAAAGTTTTAATGATTCGTGAAATGTGTCAAAAATTGTAATCAATATATTAGCAACAATAATAATAATATTAACAATAATCAAGGCGGATTTAGGGGGCCCGGTCTGGCCCTGCCCCCCTTTTTTTTGGAAGGTAAAAAAAAGAAAGAAAAAAAAAATGATAGCCCAGAACGCCTCAAATGCTATTAATAAGAATCTCGGTGTCACAAAAAATTGAAGATTGTTATGTGGTTTTTAAAAAAATGGTCTTGAATTTAGAGAGGTCTATGAATTGGAGGGTGCACAGTAACATTAATAATAATAATAATAATATACTTTATGTTAATTATTAATTATAAAAAATAATATATGTATTAATGACGAATTAAATTACTCTTCCTAGTTCCTATTAGAAAAATCAATTGCATTTTTTATTTATTTTTTATGGAGATTTATTTTGTCAACATATTTTTGTGTCTTTATTTTAGGCAGCAGCAAGAAGAGAGAACAAACAGTATTTTGTCACAAATATTAACACAAGGTGCACGTGCAAGATGTAAGTTCAGATAAAAAGTTGTCACATTGTGACATTAATGAAAAATCTATACACTATTATTAGGATCAGTAGGGGTTCGGGAATTGAACAGTACCCCAAAAGCCAAATTCCTACCTTTTTCTGAAGAATGTACTTTTAGTTTCATATACTATATTTATTTGACCAAAACAACAAAATAATACAGATAAATGGTCAGGGCAGCTTAAGTAAGTGAACATCACTATAATAATAACTCTTTCGAGGTGGGTACCCCCATACAGTACTATTGCATATGGGCTATATTGCATACAGGACCAATGCATTGAACATCCCATCTGCAAAAGAGCGCAAGAGAGTAGACAGTGATTGTAATTGAACCAGGGACTAAGGACATTATTTTGTCAAAGTATTACAGTACTTAACAAAATGTGGCAAAGACAAACCAAACCAGTCACTTGTCGCAAAAATCGATTTTGAGTTTTTAATACAGTGTTATAATGTAAAATAATAGCTATAAAAGGGTAAAAAAAAATTATTCAAATCCGACATTTTCTTAAGAACAATGAGAAATCGGCCTTCAAAGTTTATGATTTCAGGCATTTCTCATGCAGAAACTATCATCAAATCCTTAAAAAGTGTTGTTTTAAAATTGAAAATTGGGAAAATAACAGCATAGTAGTATGATGTATAGATATATAAAGGTTAATTTAGTGTAATAAAATAGATTTGAAATTAAAAATTAGATTTTCAAGCATGTTTTAGTCATTTTCTCAGAAACACAATTTGCGACAAGTGACAGGTTTGGCTTGTCTTTGCCACATTTTGTTAAGTACTGTAATACTTTGACAAAATAATGTGCCCTAAACAGGAAGATCATGAGTATACCAGCTTGACCTTATAGCCCAAAAGAGTAGCCAAATAGCAATTCTTGGGTTCAAATCCTGATAGGCTTAAATCCTAATGGGGACAATTTGTTTGTCTTTAAATTTTATTAGTATTAAAAATGTAAAAATTAATATGCATAAAATAATCAACTTAAAAATATTTTACAACTTTTTTTGTCTTTGCTGTAGTAAATAGTATTGCAATGGTCAAACCAGAAAAAGGGAAGATGGTAGAGAGTTTATTAATACGAATGGCCACAACAGGACAAATTCCAGGAAAGGTACAGTAAACATTTATATTTTTATTTTGGTGAGACATATTATACCTGGTATCACAAGCCTGCTGATCATTTTACCTTTGAACATTTTTTAAAAGTTTCAGTTGGATTGAAATTTATTTAAAAAGTATGACCATGGGTTTTCCCTATTCACTTTATCACCATAGGTGGATGAAAATCAATTGAAAGACTTACTTTCTCAGGTCAGTTCACAGACAGAAAGGAAGACAACAGTCAAGGTAAATAAATTAATACTTTTAAATGGTAGTTTTCAACCAATGAAAAATATTGAAGAGCAATACAACCTAAAATCATTGATTTAAGGGCTTGATGAGGGTTGTTTAAAGGTTAAAATCAGAAAAACCAACATCAATTATTTACTTTAATACCATTCTGCTTTTGACATACCCCTAAAATGGACCTGTGACTCCTACTTTAACAGTTTCATGTATAGCTTTGGATTTTCCAAAAGTTGTCCTGTAAGTATTCAAATTAGATTTTATAAACAATTCATATGACTTCATATGAATCCCTTTATTCTACATTTCAATTGTTTATGACCCATTAAAATTAAATTAATAATAATGATTTATCCATGATGATCCTACTTTCTACAAATTCTGTTGTTTTTGAACCAACAATGAGACACTTGAAACTTCTATTCATATTAATAATTCTGGATTTTTTAACTGTTCACATCTACTGATAAACAGCATTACTGCATTACATATTTTAACAGTATGGTTGTTAAATTGAAATTTTGTATTGATGTTAAAATTTACTCTATATGTTAAATATATACGTAAATGGGTGCACATTTAACATGAACCCATGACAAGCTGTGATATTGAATTTGTGGTTTTTTATTTTCAACAGTTTGATAGGCGAAGACTTAACTTGGATGATGACGATGATGATTACTGAAGTAGTTAAGGTTTTAATTTAATGTACAAGTCACAACCATTTTAACAAGTTTATTCCCAGCCGCAGCATTTAATCACAATTATGTGTATAATTTGAAATTATAGAGCACACCTTAAGACAGGCAGCAATGAAGTATACAATGTTACTGTAGGCTTTCATTATGCAAGTTTATGGTTCACTGGCATCATCAGTTTATGCCTCCTTTATGGAGAACTACTGTTTATGTGTAGGTGCAATATGCTTTTGATCTTTACAATACTCACCTAACTTGACTCCACCTGGCAATGGAAAAATGACTGGTGCTTTGGTTGAGCTAAAAAGCACATTATTAATGAAAATGCACTTGGTTGAGCTAAGTGTGCCATCAGAAAACATGATAGATGCACTTGGTGCAAGCTTAATATGCATGCTATTAAACAACATAGAGAACCAGTGCTTGGGTTAGGCTAATAAGCATGCTATCAAACAACATAGACAACCAGTGCTTGGGTTAGGCTAATAAGCATGCTATCAAACAACATAGACAACCAGTGCTTGGGTTAGGCTAATAAGCAAGCTATTAAACAACATAGACAACCAGTGCTTGGGTTAGGCTAATAAGCATGCTATCAAACAACAAAGACAACCAGTGCTTGGGTTAGGCTAATAAGCATGCTATCAAACAACATAGACAACCAGTGCTTGGGTTAGGCTAGTAAGCATGCTATCAACAACATATACAACCAGTGCTTGGGTTACTCTTATAGGCATGCTATCAAACAACACAGACAAAGAGTGCTGGAGTTAGGCATATAAGCATGCTATCATATTAGTTCATTTTATGGTAGTACTAGCATGACAATGGTTTTGATAAAGGCCAAGTCCCAAGTTGGACGTCAGGCAATGTAACTCCAGTTTTACAGGCCTTTACTTAGCTGGTGTTTTTTTTATATTCACTACGTGCTTGAAATGAAACCTACATTATGAGGGGTTAAATATTGTTTCTTTTGTATTATTTTGTACTGTCGTATAGAAGGCCAAATTTTCTTAATATGTAAAAACTTTATAAATCCTACAAATGAGTATCAAGGAATTGAAGATGATTTCTTGATGATTATCAGTTAAAGATGTTATTGTTTTATACATTAATGCATTTGCAGTGGAAAATAAAATAACTAAAGCAGTAGATAATGTTTGTCTATAGAATTGTTTCATAACATTTGATATAATTAACTATGTACAGTAGTAGATCTGATGTACACAACGGTGTTTAAAGATATACATTCATTGAAGTGAGGGAGGCACCAGTAAATAAATTGAATTAAGTGGTCCTGTTGCACTGCACATTAATAGCATAGCCTCCTACCTCAGCCCCAACCATGGTGCCGCTCTTCTAGTGTAGATCCCTTCCTGGGCGCTTTTTTGAATTCCTGGGCCCGCCACCAATTCTGGTTACTAGCATAAATTTCCTGATTATATCAGTTATGCAAATGAGGTTTAGCATCTTCACACATGTACCAAGAAATAGGCTCTGTGGCTTTATTACCATCTCCAGTGACAAATCCAGAAATTCAAAATAGAGGGGGAGGGACATTCAAACTTCAATTTGAATATAATTTTCTTCTTTTTTTTCTCACCATCCAACAGCAACTTTGAAGAATTGAAACAAAACAATATATTCTCATGTCATTCTTTATTTAAAGTACTGTTTTGTGAACTACTAAAAAGTGATCAAAACTATTATTTTTCATAGACTAAAGTCATTTATAATTATAATAATTTTACCACCAAAATATAGGGCATGGTAAATTTAGCCTAAATTTAATTTAAAAAAAAAAATTCTACAGTATTTCAAAAATAAAATAGGGTCATACATCCAGCAGAAAGCTGATTGTTTCGTAGATATATTGAAATCATATAAAATGAATTTTTATAAATTAATTTAATATTTCAAAAAAAGATTGTATTAAAAAAATATTAATCAGCAGAATGGAGCTATACAAAAAATAATCACATTACTATACATTAAAATTTACAATAAATAAAAAGGAAATTTTAAAAAGTACTGTAAAATCAAAAGAAAAAAACACAAAGCCATTAAAAATTACAGTGTAATAAAAACAATATTAAAATTTAAAATTAATTTACAATAATTAATAATTATTGCTTTCATTTATTCTGAACAGAGGAAAAGTAAGAAATGTAAAAAGATCATTGAAAAATATGGTAGCTTTTGAGAAATGTGAAGGAGTGTATTGTAGCAGTTGGATATTCGAGGGAAGGGAGTTAAAAATAATAGGGTAATTAGGCTGAAAGTTGTAGAAGTTCAAAATTAGGTCTCAAAATAAGATGGTTGCCTTTTGCGATCTGGTTCGTAGTCCTGCAGCCAGTAAGGGCACAGGGGCATGTGCCCCAACCCCCCGTTTTGCTACTAAATTTAAAAAAAATAAATGCAGATCAATGTTGTGCCACAACCCCCTTTGAAAAGTCTTAATCCACCCCTGTTCTTTGTGTTTATTTCAAGGCATTTAGAAACAGTTTAAAAATCGCGATTGTGGAGTGCCGTAAAAATACAGAAAATTTGTGTAGTTTTCTAGATGGTTGAAGTATTGATGAGGCCAAATAAAATTTCTGTTGCTCAACCCCAAACCTAGGTTCTGATAGGACGGGCATCAAATCCATGGACAAATTTATGATATTTACCCTAGACGCCCGGAAATTGCACTCTAAAACTACTAAAAATGTTTTTTTCAGAGCAGTGTTCCGTGACAAAATTACTAGCTTAGGTGAAGGTTTCTGTACCCCTTCTGCAGAAATCCATATTGGAAAATGAAATTTAAAACTTTATTCCTTTTTCGTCTTCTTATTCTTATGTTTCTTTGTGTCTTCATTTTCGTACGAAATGCCATACTCATTCTTCCTACTTTTGTCCACTGGATATAACCTGAAAAAGAAAAGCATAAATTTGTTGTTAATAGTAATCAATACATTACATACAAATACAAATTTTAAAATGTATACGTGGAACAAAATGATTCTCAATCATTCTATCCAAATGTGGTACTACTAAATATATTTTTTAACTTCATTGAATGTAGATTATTTTTGTTTGTAAAGTGTATTATATGTTTTTGTTGAATTTCAATATTATTTAACCAGGATAAATAAATTATAATCTTAAAGACCATAAGGCAGGTTCCGGTTTTTTTTTTAAATTATCTAAAAATGGAGATAATATTTTAGTTGTTGGCTTTGATCATTCATTATTGTACCCTAATCTTTGGTTAATAATATCACTTACCATCTCTGGTACAGGTAGATTACAAACACTACATCATCTCTAAAACATGCCATTCGATGAGTTGTTGGCATGGTGATGACAAATGCAAACAGGTCATCAATAAATGTATTCAAAGCCTATGAGAGAATAAACAATGGCACAAATTAAACAGAAAGCTCCAACATGAAAAATAAATAAAATGATATCACCATTACAACCATTTTGCAGTATTTTTATAGTTTTTGACTTCATCTGTAAAGCTTTATGATATAATATGCCACTGATGCAAGGAGAAAATTAAAAAGCATTCAGTTGCAGGAAAACAATAGCCAGAACTACATTGACAACTATTTAATAATAGATAATAATTGTATTTTTATAGTGCATCATGATTTCTACATACAGTACTATTTTCTATAACTTCGCAGTTGAAATCAACTGTTATCCTTATGACGAGAACATACAAATAAAATATCCATGCCTCTATGCGCTTGGTGATTCAGCTCTTTGATATTTTGATAGTGGGAATAAAACAAAAATGATGTAGCCCTAACCTACTCCTTAAACTAAAGCATGGTTGGCGGATGGCTCCGATTTACAGAAAGACAAAGTGAAAACAGTGGCATTACAGAGTAGGCCTATATCCCTTTCCACCAGAGTACTTCTGTATAATTTAAATAAATATGCAATGAATGTTAGATACATAATATTTAATAATAAAGTCAAGGAGAAAACAGATAGGGCCTACACACTACATTAAAATGCATGCAACATCCAATCCAAACTTTGACTTATAAGTAAACTACAATCTACATTATTAATTTCTATTTCTTATTAACTTGGGTGAACTTCTCAGTTGAAATCAACTGTTGTCCTTATGATGAGAACATACAAATAAAATATCCATAGTCTGTGGGCTATGTGTGTTAGTGTTTATAGGTGGGTATGTGTAATTACATGTGTGTGTGAACTGAAGTATAAAATGTCTTCTCACCTTATACATAAATACTCGCCATGGTAGATGAGAAACAGATTTGAGCTGTAAAAATTGCCAAAACAATAAATATAATAACACAAACATCAACCAAACACAATAACCATATATTCTGGCACTGTAGCAAAATACACTGTTGGTCATTGAAAATAATAATTTACATTTCCATTAATTAAATAGAAAGAACATCAAACTCCTTTTTACATGTAGATATTTGTAACAACAAAGTTAAATTATAACTTGTAACCTTATATCAAGTTTGTCTTTTATATCAGGCTGAAATGGCTTATTAAACAAATCTAACAATATAAAAGATTGCAGATGTTATAAGAACTGAATTAAAAATATAATCTTTAAAATTACAAATCAAAAGAGCACTAGGCATTAAAATCATTATATATTTTGCAATGAGTTATGCTAATATATAACATGTAATTGCTGCTAAAAAATTACCTTATAATTTACAAAAAGCTGAGGCAACATGAAGAGAAATCCAAAAGCATAGACACCATTAGCTAGACTGTGTATAACCCAAGAATACCAGCTGTACAGGTGATAAACAAGTTTTGAAATTATTCCCTGATTTATTATTATTTTATTTTATCTGTCTGAATAATTCTTTTATAAGCTCTTACTCTCATTTTTTTACATTTAAAAGTAAAACTTATGATTGTATAGAATTGCATGATTACATAGAAAAAAAAAATTACAGAAAGAAAAACACATCAGCAGCCATATCTAAAGTTTCCCTTTTATATTGTTGTAACTCATTCATATTAACCTCTTTAAAATTAAATAATTTATAAGCTTCACCTTTTGTATGATACATAGAGCAATGAATAGACCGCAACTCCTATACATATAGGCGCTAGAATGTAGGATAGGTAGACCATTGCTTGGTTGTTGATGGTACTGGTGGCCTTCTCTTCCTCACTGCATGTGCCTTTGTTGATAGTTGGTCTGTAGCCCGACATTGAGAATGTCAGTTTGAACGCCTTCTTTATCTTCCAGATCTAAAGAGATAAATAATAACTCTTCTGTATTTACTACAAATAAAACAATATTAACAGTAACAAATAAATAAACCATATTTCTATCAAGTTTTATTTGAAAATAATCAAAACACTGAAAAATAAAATGGAACTTAATTATAAAACCTTTCTTTGCTTTTAATTATGCATTATTCATAATATAAAAACGAACATCACAAAGCATAAGTACCTCAATAAGAGCACCAATCCCAGCTGGTACAAGAACTAGTAAACTAGTATCTTCATCCATAAGATAGAAAAAGATAACAACTTGACTGAAACCACACCACAATACTAAACAAATTAAAACATTTTGAGTTATAATTATTGAAGTACTGATTGATTGTCTGGCTGATTAATTAATTAAATTGGTAGAGAGCAGCTTAACTCAGTCAACTAAACTGGTGGTAGCCACTGTGTGTGCACTGCTGGTGGAGATGTCTAGGTCCCCAATTCAATTACCATCCACTGATCTCTTTGTGTTTCAACTGGAGGGCTGAAATGCTAGGTACGATAGCGCACTGTCTTTCGGATGAGACGTTTAAGCCGTTGGTCCCATATTCATGCTAAAGTATGCAGTACGCTATTTGGAAAAGATTAGGGGATTGTCTCCTAGTGTACTTGTTTCCCAGTGTCTTTTTTCAGATTTTTTGGGGTTATCCTTGGTGTTCACACCGAATAAATCCATCCATTCATCCATAGATCATAATTGATAGATTGACCAATTAATTGATTTATTCATTTGTAATTTATTGATTAAATAATTATAGTAACATATTGTATTTAACATTTAACCCTCTTTGAAACAAGATTGATTTTTCTAATAAACAATTTATATTCAAAGACAATTTTCATATAAAGTAAAATACCTGTGCTTGTTGACATTCCTGTGATCTTGTCTCGATTTCTCCAATAACTAATATCATTTTTAAATGCTAGGACGTCAAATAGCCCCTGTAGATTGTGACAACATAATAAAATATATATACATAAGAACTATCATAATTGTACAGATTTGTGACTTACTGGAGGTAATATTCTGAGGCTCTACTGCAACAGGGTCCAATTCTTAAGCAAGATACTTGATTTTTTATTTAGGTTTTGAAATTTAAGTTGTCAATTTGTTTTTCTATACATTTTGTTCTATTATTTTTAGATGATTAGAGCAAATGACACAATATCCCAGGGTTTATAACTTAAATGGCTAATCAGGAAGTCGAACTAAATTACTATGTTACAAAGGCTATTGTTTATTGGTGTGATCCAGGGATTATAATTAAATGGCTAATCAAGGAGTCGGACTGATATCATATTATAGAGGCCTATTGCTCACTGTTGCATTATCTGTTGCTAATTAAATATTTATATAAAGAAAAATTTGTTCAGAAAACAATTCAACTGGAACCTTCAATAATTCCCTGAAAAATCTGATCAATATTCAAATGGATGTTAATGAATGTTATAGTCTTCATATAAACAACATTTTTCTAAAAAAAATACCTGTTGTGTTAAAAAAAATGTATTGAAGATAGATGATAATCTTAAAATAAGCTGTTGAAACTTTGCTGGGCACAAATTATTAAATTTTCACATCAAATATTAAATCTGTTATTCAGCATACAAGTAAACAGACTTTCTTCATAAGGTTTGTAAATTGAATGTTAATGTCTTTCATATTTTAAATTTAGCAATTCAAAATTGATTGTCGTTTCATTGTAATTCTTTGTAAAATGGTTCACTTTTATTAGTTAAACTATCATTATTCATTGACATTTGCATTACCTTTGTTGCCGTCACTGCTGCCCTCGTCATCATTGTTCTTAACATTACTATAATTATCAATATCATTACCATCACTACTTGTGGTATTAGCACCTTGCATTAAACAATGTTGGCATTACTTACCTAACTCCTTCATCATTTCCACAGACTTTTCAAGATTTGTAAATAGCCTGAGTTTGCCAACGGATATAGGCAAATACTCTACTGTTAATGGCATCTCACATGTAGATGAATTCAACAACTGAAAAAATATAATTTGAAAAATAATTTAAAAAAAACGGTAAGTGGACAATAAGTTAAAAACATAATAAAAACCTGCAATTATGAAAAATAAAATACAAAAAATTCAGAAATTAAATTAAATGAGAAATAAGAAAATAGGAAAATACATGGTAAAAACAAAAGAAATAATCTATACACCAAAATGATAAATATGCTTTAGGTTAAAAAAGCATTAACAAAAATGAGACAGATTATACTACAAAAGGCAACATTGGTTGCATTATTATTTGAGTAATATCTTACCACTAAATCTGAATATTTTACTGCAAGTTCATTTATATACAGGATTGGTAAATACTTTCCACTTTTCTGAAATCTGCAGAAAATAATGATTAATGCTATTAGGTCGAGGAGTGTGACAGAATGCTGGTGGATGTTGACACCACACTGCCTTCTCCTAGAACATTTGCAGAGTTTTACATTTTCGTTTCCTTCCAGGGGAAGAATTTGTGTCCATAGCAGGTGCTTTACACCTGCAGTCCGCATAGAAATGTCTACTAATCATTACCTTGTAGGCCTTCTACAATTTATTCTTACAGTAGGGGATTAGAGAAACCCGACCATAGAAAATGCTTTGTTGAATCGCTTTAGGCCAGCAGTATACTTTTCTACTGCTGCCCTATTCAATCTGGATAGACTCAGTGATTGGAGATATAAGCTTGTCTGTAAGTTCAGAGCGACTGTCCCCAGGGCCAAAGTATATTCCACCTCGCCGTAACATAGCAACTTGCAGAAATTTGAGTAATGGCATTGATATATCTAAATACGTGTATAGAACTGAAAGATTTTAAATATTTTTGCCATTCATTGTTGGCAACTGTTCACACTAAAGCAGCAATATTTTAGTATATTTTTATACCCAAGCTTAATTACAACTAAGTCACACAATTTCTTATACATATTAAATTAATTTCTTATCTAGATGTTGTAAATGTCAATTGCATAGTTAACATTAATTCTAATGATCTACTTTCTTAAGGTATCAAGTTTTATTGAATTTTGTAAATTATCTTGTTTAGAATTGATTGTTAGTGTACTAATTGTCTTTTTTGTGATCTTTGTGAATTTTAAACTTTGTACGTAATTTTTATATTTAATACCTTTGCATAGATACTGTATGATTGTTATTGTTGTTCTTTGTTTTGTGAATATTGATTTTTGATTCAGCTTATCTTTTTGTTAGTTAGATGAAATTCAGTGCAATGCTGCAAAGTCAGGTTTATCATTTTAATAATAGATCATAATTAATAAGAAAAAAAATAGGGCTTTTCCTCATTGCCATAATAAGAACACATGATGAAATTATAAGAAAAAAAAATCATTAAAAAAATTATAATTTAAAGAATACATGAAAAACAAAATCATTCAGAAAATTATGAAAGCAAAAAACACATGGAAACTAACTTGACATCAGAACAAAACCAATGGCTTTTCCACTTGTGCAGGTAAAGCCAATTCCGGTACACTTATGTTAAGCAATTATAGTTTACCTGAAATATTTGTAAATTTCATATGGAAAGTTTTCTTTGTCAAAAACAATTTTATCCGGTACAATACTAAAATACAATGTGGGTTTCCAATGTGCAACAGGTTGACTTATGTCTGAGCTAATCTGAGAACCAAAGAGAAATAACAATTAGCATTAACATATCAGATGAATGCATTTTTTGACACATGTATTTAGGTTTCTGTGATAAAATTTGTAGATGTATAGAAACAATTAATCAGTGGCACATCTAGAAGTCTTGAAATGGAGGGGCTGATGGGGGACACAAAGGTGAAGTGGGGGCTCGATGATCAGATTAGGGGTGCTAATTCGAAAAATAAGGTGATTTTTAACTACTTGACTGTGAATTTTTGGGGGGAACCAGGGGGGGTGCGCGAGTAATTTTTGGGGGCGAGAGCCCTCCGGTAGACCTCCCCCAAATATGTCTTCAAATATGAAGTAACATCAATGACATTGACATTTTTAGGCTATAATATTTTGTCAGTTGCTATTGTTACACTGATAAACCAATTCCTCCATGCATACATTACATCTAATCAAATTAAAAACTGGTATAACAACAAGCAATGCCTAAAATGTTACTGATAATATAACAAAAAATGTAAAGGATGAAAAAGGGGACTAACCTGATTAGTTGAATTTGATAAAAGATGGTATACATCATCTTTAGGGGGTCGATGTTGGGTCAAGTTCATTTGACCTGTACATGCCTCTTTATCATTCAATGGGGATTTCCCTACTGGATTTACAAACACATGTGCTACAAAACCTCCATGTTTACATGCCTTCTGAGGTAGTGTTATATTAACTGAGCTACAAGATAAAATTATTTGGCATTATATTTTTTGCATGAAACTCTTCAATTATTCAACTGTAAGATCAAATAGAAGGATACATTAGCACCGTTGAAAATGTCATCGTCCCATCATGATTTTTGGGCGTCCCATTTTAGGGACGCATACCATAGTTTGCAGAAAATTGATTTAAATTACTTTTAATTGCTTTTTTTTATAACAATTTATTGAAAAATTGTTGAAGTACTCAATTAGTAATTAAACAGTACTGAATGAAAAATAACTGTATATTATTAATAATTAATATTATTATTATTATTAATAATAATTATTTTTTATAATTATAATAATTATCATTATTATTGTTATTATTATTATTATTATTATTAATAATAGTAGTAGTAGTAGTACTATTAATAATCAATAATAGTATAACTTTGCAGTACACACATAAATATTTCTCAAAATAACTGATGTGTTGAGATTTACACAATTGTTTTTCACTCAATAAACCTTTAAAAGATACCAATCAGCAAAGAAGTATTAAGGCTTTAATTATTTGATGAACTATATTCAAATAAACTAAATCGTACAAATGAAATATTTAGGCCGTAAACTATTGCATTTTAAAGAAAGAATTCTCTCTGTTGTGACATAGTAAATTAGACATTTGACTTACAATGAATTTGCTAGTGAAGTATTGAAGTTAGAAATTTGAAGTACAGGAGCCAGACTTTTATCACTTTTTGACATTTTACTTTTCAATGAAGTGTATACAGATAGCTGAAAAAAATGTAAAAAATTATTGTTATTATCAATAGCTTCATGATTCATTCATTCTTTATTCAGCCAATACATAAACAAGTGAATACAAAACAATTCAAGGAAATTTAGAAATGATCGGTGGGTGCATCGCAATTAAGTTCAAAGAGAGTAAAAATGGTGAAATCAATCTAATCTAATCTGGTCGTTGATATATCGCCTTTCTTTACATATAAAGCGCTGTAAGTTTTTCCCTGGTGATTGGGTCCACAGGCTTAAGTGTTGCTGCCATGTTGGCGCAGTAGCAGGCAACCCTACCATGTATCCATTTAATACTCCTGGGTGGGGAGAAGCAATGTAGATCAGGCCCGTAGCCAGGTCATTTCAAGGGGGGGTTCTCTGGGTGTGGGGTCCAGAGGCCTGCCTAAGGGCTCCGGTAGGTAGCCAGAGCAGTTTTTGTGTTTAATGTTATAAAAGCAGTTATGTTTTGAAAAAGATTTATGTAATAAAAAGGTGGTAATATAATAAAATTAGAAAATATTTCGTGAGTGGATTTCCCGTACGATTAAAAATCGTAACGGTACTGCATGGCGAGTGGATTTCCTGTACGACTAAACATCGTAACGGTACTTGGTTTGGTTTACAGGAGTTCGTGCTTCGAACAGGTCATTCCATTCATAGAAGAAGCCTTTTCATGGAGAAAGTGTACCTTTTTAGCAAAGGTTTGTCTAGGTCGAAACTAACTCCGGCTATATGAAAATTGATTAGAATATTGAAAATGTTATTCGTGTTAATGAATAGATAAAGATTACTAGGCCTAATATGTCCATATTATTGATCTAATCTACGTGTATTTACTTTCATAGTTTATATTTAAATATTTTAAATTGTTCATAAATTTATTTAAAATACTATATGAAATATTGTAATCATTAAATTTATGATACTAATTGATATTTAAATAAACCAAAAGATTGAAACATGTTAAATACAGACACAAAATATACATAAACCTATTTCTAGATTACAGAAAATATGTAAATCTGTATTAAAATGATATATATATATATACATATATATACATAGAAATATTATGCGTAAATATGTATTTAGTATAACAAATTAAATTTAAACGAAAATATGGAAGAAGCAGAGGAAGAAAGAATTGAATAGGAAAAAATTGAAAATGAACAATAATAATCGTTTTTTCATTATTATTGCATCACGTTTTTGTGAAAATAATCCATCTTAAAGGACTATCTGTCGTTTTCTTTTTTGCCACAGTGGACGAAAAATTCAGTTATTCTACAACGTTTCGTAATTCTTTATCACTAAAAAATTAACACTCGTTTTGACGCACTCTGTTCTGTTGTGTGTGTGTCTGCTGTTGAAAACAACCTTCCTAATTTTGTGACTGGCTATGATGACTGAGATGGACCATGTTGACTTATTAATAATATTTTGTTTGGGATTGAAAAAAGGAGTCAATTTCCCAAAAATGCTCCATCAGCAAATAGGTTAGTGTGCGCTGTGGACAGTACGGCTATGTAATTTACTAACCACACAGTCCAGAATCAGGTGATTAAGTCGCAAAACTTTAGCTGCATTTGGTGAATTAAGTCGCAAAACTTTAGCTTCGTTTAGTGGCGCCATTTACTCTAGGTAGATGGCGACCGGTTTCGTTACTTTTTCAATTAATAAATAAAATTTAGCATAAATTTTAAAAAAATAAAATAAATTCCGTACCTGCAGCAGTTCACCTGAAGAAACGTGAGGATGCAGACACTTGGATTGGTCCTTGGCATTGCACGGTTTGATAACAAACATACTGTACATTGTTTGTATAGTGTGTGCCATATAAATTACAAATACTCCCACCACAATGTATGTGAATGTATTTCCCCAGGTCCCCATTTTGTAAGAGCAATGATTATAGCCACGGACGCAGGTACTGTACTATGCTGTCCTATTTAAGCAGTAGACCTACAGTAAAGTAAAAATAGATATTGGTGTTATGGGTTGTTGTGTAAATTTCTTTAATATACTGGCATATAGTTATTACCAAATAGCTGAAAAACTATCTAAAGTTCGTATCTAAAGCCTAGCACTGAGTGCCGTTAAATAGCCTAATGTTTACATCATTCTACAATGTCAGGGCTGAAATTAAACAAAACATTTGGGTAACTTGTACTTGTCCAAGAAATATAACGCTGCACAAGCCAGACGTGTACATAGACCTCCTGTATTAGGTCCTATCCAAGAAGACTTGGTTCTCTTGTATAGTTAAGCTCTCAAAATTCTACTTAAGTATTTAAAATAAATAATCTATGTTAACATTAGTTAATCAGGACACACCAACTGTCGGTCAAGGAATCCATCTCCGATTTAAGCGCATGATGACACTGCCTGCTGATTGTCGGTAGTAGTCTAGGGGACTTTTATTTAAAACAATCTGTCGTGCGAATTGTCACCTTGCGCTATCCATGAAATTAATAGAATTATTGATACTATGAAGTAGGTTTAAGTACACTACAAGGCTTAACATCAGTGGGCCGTTTTGCCCATTTTACCACATCATTTTTACCCCAAAAAGAGCCATTTGAAACTGAAGCTGGCCCACACTAACACCTGTGATCTTTAAGATGAGTAGTAGCAGTAGTACAGGTAAACCAAGGATAGGCTTATGCTCATAAATTTACGGTGATACTCTTATTTAAGAATGCGCATGCAGATCACCAAATGACACGATAAGGAATGAACACCACAAACATTAAAAGAGAGTAAATAAGTGGATGAAAATGAAAAAGTGCTGGAAAAGTAAAAACCCAGGTAATGTACGCTAGCCTTCCATACAGTAATGCAGGCCTAGCCTAGTTTTATCTCTAGGCCTACAGGTAGGTCTTAATAGATATTCTTTTAACATGCCAGAATCAAGCTCGTTTTGGGCTGAAGTAGAATCAGCCTTTTCAGGCCGAAACCACCCAACTCAGAGGTCCCGAAGACATGAATTAGAAAACCAAATAATCCAATAAAGTTTGTCTTATTGCTTTATTTCTTTAAATTTATAGTCTTGTAGGAAGATAAAATTCTTGCAGAAAGATCTTTTTATTATAAAAAACGATGATATGGACAGGAGGTATTATATGAATTATAAACTGTAAAAATGTAGGCCTAAAGAAAAAATATCGATATAGAAAAAAAAGCCAAAATCGAAATATGCGACTGTTATTAAGCAAAAAAAAAAAACAACACAATACTATTTCAATACAGGAACATTGTATTGTAGAAAGATCTTTTTTTTATCTAAAAAAAAAAATTTTGTGATTCAGAAAAGTGATTCAGAAAAGCATTAAATTATGCATGTAAATAGATGTAAATAGATCTCATTTACAGGAAAAAAAAAGTATCAATTAATGATATGGGGTTGGGGGGAGGGGGAAAGGGGTAATAAACAAAAATGTATGAAAAGTATTAAAATATTATCGATGGACTCAGGGGCAAAACAACCCGGGCTGCAATGACCTGGGCCGAATTCGACTCGGGGTTGAAATGACCCAACACGGACATGCCGTAGTGCATAAAGATATCAAGACTGAAGTTTAGGTTTGGGTCAAGCCAGCTCCACCAATCAATTACGTAACGTTGTCGGAACAATAACCACAGCTAGGAGGCCTAGGGCCTAGGTCTATTTAGTTAGTATAGGCCTACTGCTGCTGCAAAGGAAATATAGCCTAGGCCTATATAGCCTTTACTTAGCCAAGTCTAGCTTAGGCCTAGTAGTAGTAGATGTAGCCTAGGCCTCGGCCTACATCATGCAGGCCCCGTAGTAGCAGTAGACTAGACCTAGCCTATAGCTAGGGCCAGGCCCCTACTACTACTAGGGCCTAGGCCTTCCTTGGTAGGCTACTGTAGGCTATAGCAGTAGCAGCAGCAGTAGTAGGCCGCAGTAGGCCTACCTACGCCTAGGCTAGTAGTAGTAGTAGTACGAAACTGCCGTAGTAGCGTAGCCTAGGCCTAGTCTAGTCTAACAACATTTTACTGACTTTGCATAAAAATTTATTATCAAAGAATACTAGACCCTAGCCTACATTTTAGGCCTAGGCCTAATATTAATTTTACCAACATGTTGCTCTACAGATCCCTCGTCAGGAAAAATTGTCTTGCCCCCTCTACAGCTTAACTAGAAGTCGTCGGTACTTTCCCTTTTTACAGTACATATTTTGGCCAATTTAGTTGATACCGTATCCCTCTCCGTTTTGTGCATTTTTATTGTATTTACGGTACAGTGTCATATTTAAATATTTGTATGTTTCTATTTATTTCTTTTATTTTATAGCTTCTTAGATGTGGTTTATTTGAAATAGTTTATAGTATCTGATTGCGGAATGGAATTATCGTTTTTATGGCTTTTAAAATAGGATTGTTTGTTTGCACTTCAGCTCTCTTTTATCTCGGTAGTCCAGTGGTTATGGTGTCAGGCTACTGTCTGGATGTCGTGAGTTCGATTCCCATCCGAATCACTTGCGAATTTGTTTCGCAAGTATTTGGGAATGTACTGAGTATTCGGTAGGAAAACACTTCAGAAAACTTCAATCCTATGAAATTTTTCTGACGCAAACTCCCAGCATTCGCAGTACCCTACCCGGTGCTATTTTGGGATCAGATTCAACACTAGTTAAAGTGCAATCTCGGTATATAATCTAGTGGTTATGGCGCCATGTTAGTAATATCTGGAGGTCGCGAGTTCGATTCCCGGCCCGAATCACTTGCGATTTTTTTTTCACAAGTATTTGGGAACGTACTGAGACGAAAACACCTCACGTAGGGAACTCCACTCTGACTCTTATGACATTTTCCTGGCGCCTGACGCAAACTCACATAGAAATAGCATTTGCAGTCCCGCTACTACTTGGAGATCGGATTCAACACTAGTTCCTAAGTGCAAGCTCGGTGTTTTGTTTATGACGGCATGCTAATTATCTCGAAGCCGTGAGTTCGATTCCCACCCGAATCACTTGAGAATTTATTCGCAAGTATTTGGGAATGTTTTCGGTAAGAAAACCTCCCTCTCGGGTGTATGAAATTTCCTCATGATTAAATATATTATTATTATTATTATTATTATTATTATTATTAAAGTATTATTATTTTTATTATTATTATTAAGATAATGATATTTCCTGCCATTCGAATGAAGCTTACGAACCTCCCCCCCCCCCACTATATTAAATGATATTTCATTGTATTTCATATTTCATATCTTTTTCATTGCATTGAGCAGGACATCAATGACGAAACTATGTTCACTCTCCCATTATAATATATTCAAGGACGTTTTGATAACTGAAACATAATTCCAATGATGAAAAAAGTCTACCAATATGACAGAGTCATATATTTAATGAATATCATAGTAATATTATATTTATTTATTTCCCCAAATAGGAGGAAGTCGAAACGAATGAAGGTTTCTGAACAAAAGTCACGAAAGTCAGTTGTATGAGAAAAGATGGGGGCTGATCTCCGACAAATCGTATGGCTGGGTCAAGTCGTATGACGCTCGGCTTGATAGGGTGTCCGAAAGAGACACCTTCTTTTTGATACAACTGGAAAAGGAACATGAAGAGCTATGCTTATGGTAACATTATAATGCTCCATGGTTTTTATTATTCAAGTACTGCTATACAACTATATATATATTTGTTTATTTAGTTATGGCTACGCAGGAAATCTAACTTGCATATTATATAAGGCCTGTATAACCACAATATTAGCATGGAGAATATACAATGGATGCTCACCCTATATGTATATATCGTATATGTATGTATGTATATATATATATATATATAT